TGGGGGCGACGCCGGTGGTTGTTGATCCCGTTGCCGGTCCCCGGTCCAGTACGGGGGCAACACTGAGGGTTGCGATCCGTTGCCGGACACGGAAAAAGACAAAAGACAAAAAAAAATAAAAATAAAAATAAAGCACAACCATTTCAAATTGTGTGTTAGTCCATGGCCAGTACCTTTATTAGCCACCCCCAACACTGAGGACGTGCCGGGTGCATGCTGTGCTGTCTCCACCACGCACCACAGTCAGCAGCCTCGCCTGTTTGCCCAGATGCCATCAGTGATTGCTCTAGAAAGAGACCTGGGGGCTGGCTTGGCTGCAGTTTCTGATCTACAACTGAGCCTTAGAATATGGTGATTTCTTTTCCTTCTGGGGTCTCAGATGTCCATTTGATTTCTGAAGTATCATTGAATTGTTAATTCAGTGCAGAGAAAAGCCTTTCCACCATTCTTCCAGTGCATCAGGTGTGGGGTGTGTACACTGGAAGGAGGACAGCTGAGCAGACCTTGCCACTGGGGCTCAGGTGGTCAAGGACTGCCTTGTGGGAGATGGGCCATGAGCACTGCAGCCAGGGCTGAGGCCTCGGTCCCTGGGGCATCAGTGGACCCACTTGTTCCCGTGCTTGGGAAAGGTCCCTTGGAGGAAGTAGCAGCTTTGTGGCTTCAATGTGGTTTATTAGCTTTCTTTTGCACATTGACCTGTGTTCAGGTACCGAAGGCCTTTCACAGGGAGTCTTAAATCAAGTTAGTATTGCCAATTACAGGCTGTGCTATAGCTCAGGGAAAGAAAATGCTTTATTGCTGAAGCCCAGAGCTGGCTGGGGCATGGTGGGGTGACCCATGGACTCCACTCTCCCTGAAGAGGGAAAGGTCAGTGCTGGAGAGGCACGTGACCCACTCCAGGGTGGTGCTGCCTCTGCCTGCTGTGGAGCAGTTCTGGAGGCTTGGTGGAGGATTTCCTGCTGAACTCAAGAGGACAGGCCTGGGGGGCGAGGGAGGGAGAAGGTGATGGCTGGAAGGCAGAAGGAAGTAACAAGGGCCACCTCAGCACAGCAGAGAGAGAGGAGCTGAGGCCAAGGGCGTGAGTCACACACCCTGGCTCTGCAAAACCTCGAGGATGGCACGGAGGATGGTGGCAGCTGCTACTGCCCCAGGGTCTGGCTGCTCCAGCCGAGCAGAGCTGATATAGCTTGCTCTTCCTGCTCCAGCTTCCATATCCTTGGTGGCCTCGGCTGCAGCTTCAGCACTCTGGGGGGGGGGGGGGGGGGGGGGGGGTTCAAGGACAGCCACCAGGCCTCCTTCCTGCCAGGGCAGAGTTCCTGTACAGTCTGGCCTTTGACTTTCTCGTCCCAGCTCTGCCAGCACCCTCTGCACTCACCAAGTGGGAAGGTCACCACTCACCTACTTCCAGCAGGAAAAGGGGTTCTGCTATGTCCCAGAATGTAGCTGGGCTCTACATTTATCCCTCGCCTCACAACAACCTGTGATAGGTACTGACCTCCATTTTATAGAGGAGGAAACTGAGGTACAGGAAGGTTATTAACTTGTTCAAGGTCACATGGAGATGGGAGCCTGGTGGCTCTGAGCCTGTCTCCCTGGGTGGTTGGGCCCAGCTTCACTCACCTTGACTGCTTTGGTCAGGACTTTGAACAGGTCAGCCCCTGGGCTCTTCCAGGCTTGGAGTTCCTGTCGTGCTGCCCACAGAGAATCCAGCTAGACAAGGTGAGGGAGAGGGGGGCTGAGAAGAGGCCCTGCTACTAAGGGAGGCCTTTAGGGCTTGTAGGCTCAAAAGGGAGAAGGGCTGGATTGCAGCCCGAATACAAACCATAGTCCTGTCCCCTGGGGCAGCCTTTCCATACCTGGCCAGGGAAAGGAAATGAACAAGGCTTACTGTAGGGAATCACTTGGGGGTGGGGACAGGGCCAGACTGGGAGCAGGCGACATCATCCACCTCCCCAGCCCACCCTGGTCCAAGGTACAGGACTCTGGCTTACTTCTGCATGGCTTCCAGGCCGGCATCCATGGCAGCAGACCAGGCTGGGAGGTCAGTCTTGGCCTTGAGGGGCTGGGCGGCTGCAGTCAGGAACAGGCCGTAGAGCTGGGAGGACCAGAATGCTGAGCACATGGAGCTGGCCTGGGCCCCAGCCAACCTGGGATCCTTCCCTGGCAGCTGCTAGGGCCCAGAGGCTGTCGGTACTCACCGCTCCAGATGAGCCCCCCATCTTCTCCAGTAGCAGGACGGACAATTTGGAGAGTAGCTGGGCAGGGCCGGCAGGGGGTGGACCCTCCTTCAGCCACCCTTGGATGGCTGCAGACAGAGAGATGGTGAGGAATCTCGAGACCTTCCCTCTATTCATACGGACCCCAACCAAGGACCCAGCCTTACTGTCAGCAAGAATGAATGGGGGCTGGAAAAAGTTGAGAGGGAACCAAAATGAAGGATGCCCAGTCTGGAGAGGGGCTGGGAAATGGTAACTGAAAGGAACCTCATGAGTCACCTAGCAGGTGAGGCCTGCCCTGAACACCTCGACCTAACATTTTATACCCTGCTTCTTTTTTTTTTTTAAAATGACTGGTAAGGGGATCTTAACCCTCGGCTTGGTGTTGTCTGCACCATGCTCAGCCAGTGAGCGAACTGGCCATCCCTATATAGGATCTGAACCCCTGGCCTTGGTGTTATCAGCACCGCACTCTCCCGAGTGAGCCATGGGCCGGCCCTTATACCCTGCTTCTTGTTTTCTCTCTAGCCCTTTGCACTAACATCCTATGTTTTGCTTATCTACCTTGTTTATGGTTTGTTTCCCCCACCAGGATACAAGCTGTGAGGGCAGTGATTTCTATCTTCTTTGTTTCCTCTCATATCCATGGAGTAGAGAGCAGAGCCTGGCCCATGGCAGGCACTAAATACATTTTTCTGGAATGAATGGTGCTGGACGATTAAGAGCTTTTCACTGATCTGGGTAAACTGAGAGAAACAAGGACATGAAAATGAGTTTTGCTTGAATTCTAAGTTATTCATGTGAAGGACTGTTTTAGTCCTCCGACATGTGCAGTGTAAGATCGTACTTTTCTTTAGGAAAACAGGTGAAAGGGGTGTTAAGGATTTGCGAATGACCTCAAGTGGCAAAATAAAAGTTGGCAACCCCATGTCAGCACTGCAAATGTTTTGGAAATTGTTCTGTTTCATGAAATGCCAAAATCTAAGAGCCAATGTGCCATACCAGCTCCTCTCCAGACCCCAGAGGGGCCCTGGCACCAACCTCTGGCAGCACGGCTGTGGGTGGTGCCACAGTCCCCATCACCGGCAGCGCGGTCCAGGGCATTAAGATGTTCCTCCAGGCCCAGGAGAGTGGTGCACACCTGCTCCAGCACAAGCGCGATACGCTTTGAGGCTAAACCTGGAAAGGGAGGACAGCAGAGAAGAGACCCGCCTGGCCCTTCTCACAACTAAGCTTGACTGGTATGGGAAGTGCACCCCTGCCCCCACAGGGGCTCAGGTCAAAGCCCTGGGCCACTGAGGAAGCCTGCTCCTGCCCCAACAGCAGGGCTTGGTACCTCCTGCAGCAAAGGAATCAGGGCCCTCCTGGGGCTCTGCAGGGGCTGCCCGGCTCCGCTTCCGCCCAGTCACGGAGACTTTGGCCACATTAGGCCAGGCTGCTGCGGTGGTTTCAGCATCTAGGAACAGCAAGATAACCCTCTTAGGCACAACTAGCCAGGGATCAGTTGGGGCCTGGACTCCCCACCTGGCCCTTGTGGCCTGGCTCCCTCAGCAGCCCTGGAGGGAGTCCACCCCAAGCATATAGTGAGTGTTTACTGTATACAAGGGAATGGAGGGAGGGTCCCTGGGGAAAGGGTGAGACAGATCTGAGGAAGATCCTTATACCAATTTCTCCACAGTCAAGTGAGAGCTGGAGAAGTCAGAGAAGGCCTCTTCACAGAGTCCAGAACCCTGATTGTCATGGTCAGTCCTGTTGGGGGCTCCACAAGTTTCCCTGGCTCCTTCCAGCTACAAGGAGCCCTGTCTGGGGTGACCCCAGGTTCCCAGTCTCACCTATCAGTTTCAGGAGGGGCTCATCCACCAGTAGGAGGGTGAGAGAAATGCCCGGCATCTCCAGTGCTGACATAAAGGTGCCCACCAGGGCACGGGCAATCTTCACCCCACGGCCCTCTACAACACCAGAGCTTGGAGTCCATGAGGAAAGGAGGGGCATTACCTCACCCCCACCCCACCCTGCCCCACCCTGCCCCACCCTGCCCTGCCCCGAGCATTAGGGGAAGAAACAGAATAACAGAAAAACAAGGACCTTGGAAGCTGGGGCCCAGATGCAAGTAGGTAGGTGGCCCGATTTCCTCAATGCATCCCTCAGTGACACCCCAGATTACCACATTGCCTGGAGGCGTCCCCTCGTTAGGGACAGCTGTGTGGTTATATGTGGTTTCATTTACTAAGTCTTTACCAGGTGTTGGGCTAAGTAAGTGTGCGAGGTGTCTTACGCATGTTTAGTCTCATTTAATCCTCACAACAACCCTAAAAGGCAGGTACTGTTATTACCGCGAACGTATGGGCAGGAAAACAGAGGCTGAAAGCACCCAGCAATTAAGTGGCAGAGTGATAGTCTAACTCAGGCTCTTCTGGCTGCACAGCTCCTTTTCTGGGCCAGCACCAGACCCCACCTCAGCTGATTTTCTATGTCCAGCTTCAAAGGGCTGGAGGGTGCCCTTCCCAGTGTGGGGCTTACCCAGAGAGCGGACAGCAGCATCAGCCATGATGCCCAGTTCCAGGAATGACAGACCGCCCAGGTTGTTGACCATTAACACCACCGAGGAGCCTGTGGGTGGACACGATACGCAGGCGAGACTCTCTGGGCACCCCCTGCCTCGAGGGGTAGGAAGGGGTAGGAGATGGGGCACGAAGGCTACTCACCTGGTTGCACAGGCACGTGGGATGCATTGGACGTGCTCGTCATATGGTCAAGCATGAGCTGCACAATCTCATCGGCAGTTGCCATCTGTCACAGGGAGCCAGTAGTGAGTGGTATCAGGGTACCCTGGCCTTAGGCCGGCCTGGGCCAGGGAGTCCTCCTACCTTTATTCGGCGCACGCCAGCTTCCCCATGGATCCCTGCAGATAGATGTGGTCACGGCTGACCTGCTCGAGGCCTGGAGATTCGCTCATAATGCTTTTGTCTAGGACTTACTAAGTGCGCAGCACTAGGCTAGGCTCTGTGTATGTGGGCAGTGGGGGGTGGAAATGGCAGAATAATGAGAAATGCAGAGTCTCTGCTCTTTGGGAGCCCATTGGCTTGGTGGTGAAGAGAGCCAGGAACCGAAGAGGCTTGAACCAGAGGTGGCCACATGAGGCCATAGGAGGCCAGTGCCCATCACTTTGGAAGCACAGGGGAGAAATGGGGAAATCTTTGCAGCCTGAGTGGCCTTTGAATGGCCCTTGAAAGAAGGGCTGCATTTTGGCAGAGGGAGGTGGACCCAGGAATGGTATTAGCAGAGGCTGGGTGGTGCCCGGAGCCCCATGTGGCTGAAGCTTTGGGCAAAGCAGGCAGAAATCAGGTAGATGGGGCCAGTCTGGGCCTCAAGTGCCTAATTAAAGTTACTAAGACTACCTAAGGGACAGCTCCAGGTGAGCGGAGAGGGCCAGGCAGACGGCTCCCCAGGCATAAGAGATGTGCAAAACCCAAGGCAGGGGAGCAGGCCTGGCTGGGATGGGGGTGGCCACGAGCTTACCCAGTCCCAGCTCGACCTCATTGGCTGAGAGTTCAAAGGTGGGTTTGGAGCCAGGGACGCTGCAGGAGGACAAGCTTACGCCCAGGGTACCTATGAACAACGAAGCATGAAATAGATGGCTCCTCTGCTCTCAGCATCAGGTGTCAGAAAGGGCATCAGAAATGCCTTGGAAACCCAGCCCCCAAGGTGTCCACCATGCACCCAACAGGAACCAGCTCCTAGCCCCAAGGTTTGTCCCAGCTCCCTCCTCCCCACCCAATCTCTCAGCTGATACTCACCCATGGCCTTGGCAACCATGCTCACCCGCTTTGTGATCTCTTCCAGCCCCACACCTGACTCAGCCAGGGCACCTGCCACCTGCAGCCACAAGAGATAAGTCCCCAAGAGCTGAACCACTTGGCAGTAGAAGATGGGCGGGGGATGAGTTTATTGTTGAGAAGGGGAAATCTCTTAGAATTTCCACACTCAACCTGGTCCATCACCTTTAGGGCAAAAGAGAGTACTCCCCTCATTCACAATGTACTTGCCAGGAATCTTTAAGAATTCCAGTCTGTTAGAGCTAGAAGGGACTTTACAAATAGGGAAATGGTCCCACAGAGGGGATATGACTTGTCCAACATCACACAGCCAGTTGGTGGCTAGTTTCCGATTCCTAATCTAGGGTTTTCTCTCCCATAGCATATATACTGTGGCTGACTTTACCCATCCATCTATCCATCCATCCACTCACCCACCCAATTTTTACCAAGCATTCAGTATGTGCTGAAAAGGAAAAAGGATGACTAAGTCACAGTCCTTGCCTTCAAGGAACTCACAGTCTGGGGGGGTGCTGGGGAAGCAGACACATACAAATTGAAAGTTTATGCAAGGCGGTAAGTGCAGTGACGGAGTCCACAACACGACAGTAGGGGAGCATTACGGAGGGGGTCCTAGCCAGCTCGGGGTAGTAGGGAGATCAGGGAGAGGTTCCCAGGTGGGCAGACATCAGAGCTAGGCCTCTACGGAATGGCCATTTTAGACAACCCACAAGGAGGCTGGACAGGGAAAGTATTTTCCAGGCCATAGATACAGCATAAGCAAAGCCACAGAGATGGGCCACAGCCCAGCAGGTATAGGGACCCGGTGTTAATGGAGCCTAAGAAGGTAGGGGTGATGGGAGATGAAGATGGGGACTCACAAAGTATTTTCCAGGCCATAGATACAGCATAAGCAAAGCCACAGAGATGGGCCACAGCCCAGTAGGTATAGGGACCCGGTGTTAATGGAGCCTAAGAAGGTAGGGGTGATGGGAGATGAAGATGGGGACTCATGAAGATGGGGCAGGAGTGTGACAAGCCTGACTGAGGAGCTTGGGTTGACTCTAGGAACCCGAGAGGAGGGCTCTGAGTGGGCGAACATCCTGGTTGGATACACATTTTTGAAAGACACCTCTGGTGGTTGTGAGAGGAACAGACTGGCAAGGCAGGAAGGCAGGAAGCAGGAAGGGGATCCCAGGCAGAAGTTGGCTGCAGCCATCTGGGCCTGAGAAGAAGAGCCCTGAGCCAAGGCTGGGGCAGGAGGGGCAGGGTCTGAGAAGGACGTGTGTTATAGAGAATTTGGGAGAGAACCGCCAGGATGGGGCAACTGCTTGGGTATGGGTGACGGAAGGGACAGGTCTGGGAGAATGCCTGTGTTCTGGGCCCGGGTAGTTGAGGGGATGGTGGGGCCTTCCCAAGTCAGGGAGCACTGGGGAGAGAGAAGAGGTGGCTTCTTTGGGGAGGGACGCAGTGGCTGGAAAGGTCTAGTTACAGGTGCTGCCTTGGAGAGAGAAGGCTGGATGGGGCCGGCCAGCCTCGGTATTGCAGGTGGGGAAGCTCACCTTGTGTATGAGCACTGTGCCACAGAGCCCCCGCCGGCCTGCCTTCTTCAGGACAGTGAAGGCACTGTCATCCCCAATGACCACCATCTCCACAGCAATGCCCTCAGCCCGGGCCTGCTCCCGGGCCAGGCCGAAGTTGAGCCGATCCCCAGTGTAGTTCTTCACGATAAGGAGGGTCCCCACTGCAGGAGAAGTTGCAGGTGCCATCAGTGCTTGCCCTCACCCCACTCCACATGGGCCCTCCCCACATCAGCCCCTTCCACAGGCCAGCCTCACCTGTGCCCGCCTGGGCCACTGCCCTGATGGCCGCCAGGATGCTGCCTACCGCTGGGGAGGTGAACACAGCTCCTGCGATGACGCCCGTCAGCATCCCCTTCCCTATGAAACCTGGAGGTGGGGTGCGGATGCTGGGTGGGGACTGTGCCTGCAGTCACTAGGGCTTCCCACACTCCTGGGCTTCAGGGTTTAGTGAGCCCTACTGTGTGCTGGTGCTAGAAGAGCACCTGAGCTGCTCTCCCCTCAGAGCTTCACATGGCTGCCTCCTCAGGAGTCATCTCCTTGGAGAGGTCTTCCCTGACCTCCACTCCTGAAGCACCTACCCACCAGCCCAGGGGACTCACTGTCCCTTTTCCCTGCTTTATTGTCTTATTACATTGCTTAGCACTCTCTGGAACGATCTCACTCACTTACATGTTCACCTGGCGACTATCTGTCTCCCTAGGGTAGAATATAAGCTCCACGAGGACAGGGACCCTGTCGGTCTAGTTCACTGTTGTATTCCTGGTGCACAGTACAGTGCCAGGCACATGGTGGGCTCATTAATGTTTGCTGAATAAATGAATGGACTTGCAGAAGGGAGACAGAAAAGGTACAAATGATACAAGGCCTGGTCTCTGCCCTCCAGAAGCTCTCAAGGAGTGCTCATATCCCTGGCATCAAACAGGAAACAACCCAGGACTGTCCATGTATGGGAAATGGCAGGGTGGGAATTCAGAAGAGGGACACTGCTCTATGCTGGAAGAGTCAGGAAGGCTTCATGGAGGAGGGGGTGGCTCAGCTGGGCCTGGAAGGCCAGGAGGATTTATGGAATCACCATCTCTCAGAGCTGGAAGGGCCTCAGAGATCATCTGGCCCCACTTTATACTTTTCACAGATGTAGAGACTGAGATCGAGAGAGAGGTAGTGACTAGCCCCAGCTCACAGCCAGAGGGAGTGGGAGAGTGAGAACCAGGCCCGGGTTGTGTCCTGCACCTCACACCAGGCTTGAGGATCTCCCGCGAGCCCCCATCTACTCTGCCAGCACCCTACCCCCATCCCAGGGTATTCACCTGCATGGGCAGGCTCATGGCCAGAACCCCCACCCGACAGCAGTGCCACCCGGCCCTTGAGGCTGTCCAGGTCAGAACGGAGGGCCACCCGGTGGCCCTGCAGGAGCTGCAGGTCGGGGTTGCAGGCCACCAGGCCAGCAAGGGCGTCATCAGCACAGCCTGCCACTGAGTTCACCAGCTTCTTGGAGGTCTGCAGGAGAGGAGTGAAGAGGAAGTCCAAGGAGTGGTTTGCAGGACACTCCATCCTGCCCAGCCACATTTCTGTGGCAAAGACCTCTTTTCCATGTCCACCCAGGAAATCCAGGGAGCCAGCAGTTCCTTGAGTTGGGCCCATTTTACCAGGTGGATGTTTCTATGAGTTCTCTTCTTATAAATTCGTGACTTTTTATTCAGTACCTAATTATGATGTGTTTTGCACCCTGGCTTCAATTCATTGAAAAATGGCTTCAATACAAAGAAAATGGGAGAAGTGGAGTTCTTGGTATAAAAAATTTTAGTGAAGGGCCGAGCCCGTGGCGCACTCGGGAGAGTGCGGCGCTGGGAGAGTGCGGCGCTGGGAGCGCTGCAGCGCTCCCGCCGCGGTTTCGGATCCTATATAGCGATGACCGGTGCGGCCGGTCTCAAAAAAAAAAAAAAAAAAAAAAAAAAAATTAGTAAAATTGGGGCCCAATGCCTCTCTTCTGTCAAAGGAGGCGGAAGCCTCAGGCTGAGGCTCCTGAACCAGGGGAAGGGGTTGAGCAGGCCCCCACCCCTCCGCTCTTCCAGCTGGGTTCTGATGCAGGGAAAACAACATTTCCTGAGCCTCTTGGTGTGCCAGGCCCAGCACTGCGTGTAAAGAGATCAACAGAACGCTGTTCCTGCCCTCGATGGAAACACAAAGAGGCCAGTTCCACATACTATGGACAGTGCTACGTGAGAGGAATGCACACAGGCCATGGGAACACAGAAGAGGGAACCACAGCCTCCTGAGAGGACCTGGAGCCTGGAGGTCTCTGTGATGGGCCAGCAGGAGTTAGGCAGGCAAAAGGGAGCAGGGAGAATGGGGGAGAGAAAAAGGAAGACATTCCAGGCAGAGGGCGTGTATAAACCAAGGTCTGGGGGTGCGAAGTAGTGTGGTGGCACCAGGAAGCGAGTTAGAATGACTTGGGCGACCAGTGACCTGTAGGGATACGTGGGCAGGCTGGCCTGGGAGCTACAGGGAGGTGCTGCCGGCTCAGCAGAGCTGACACAGGGCTGCAGGCAGAAGTGAGCAGCATGGGGGCTGGGGTGAGAGCTTGGGCTCTGCAGTCATGGGAACTTGGGTTCAAATCCCACTCCTGCCTCTCATTAGCTATAGGAACTCAGTGAAGCTACCTCACTGTTCTGAGCTTCCGTTCTTCCTCCGTAAAAATTGGGATTTAGTAAAACAATAATATGCCTGTGATATAGTAAAAGCTCAATATGAGGGAGCCAGCTGAACGAGAGTTGCAGGCTGGGATGCGCCCCTCCCTTTGTCCTGAGGAGAGTGAGAATAGGGACCAATATGGGCCTTGAGGACCAGCCTCCTAGCGCCACCTGGTGGCGGCTGGGGGTGGCCAGAGCTGAGCCAGGTCCTGTCAAGGTGCAATTCCAGCTGTGGCTCCTTCCTGAACCTGCCAGCACCTAGTTCCTTTACCAAAATTTGGTCCTGATGCCTCCCTGCCAGCCTTTCCTGGGTCCGGCCAGGGCTGCATCACCTGCTTCACGACGAGGAGAGTAGCCTGGGTCAGTAGGGAGCAAGCAGAATAACAAGATAGGCTTGATCTGCAGAACAGCGACTAAAGAGCCAGGCCCGGTTCTAAGGGCTTTTGAGCATGTATCATTTAATGTTCCCAACAACTCTAAGGAGGAAAGTTTGGCTCAGTGAGGACACTAAGGCATGGTTAAATGACTCTGCCCAAGGTCACACAGCCAGCAAGTGTCCAGGTCTGTCTGGCTCCAAGCTGGTTCCATTTTGGCCATATCATGCCACTTTCCTGAAGGGCTGAAGGGAGGCGTAGGGTGACAGAGGTCTTGCCTTAGGAAGCGCATGAGCTTGCATCTCTCAGAGCCCACAAGGGGCTGGGACATACAGTGAAGTTGTGAGTAGGTCTCAACTCCAAGCCCAGCCTCCAGCACCATCACCATCCAAGAATGTGCCCTGCTCCCCATCCTGACAGTCTGTTTTGCCTGGGATTCTCAACCATCCCTGCACCAGAGCCAGAGGAGGGCTTGGGGACTATCCCTGGCTCCCAGTGGCATGAGGGGATGGAAAAGGAAAGGAAGTCAGGCACTGTGAGAGGCCTCTAGGACTCTGGTCTGATCAACACCTCATAGCCACTTGGTGGCAGGCCTTAATCTGCCTCATATTGCAGATGAAGAAAGAGAGGCTCAGAGAGGTCTTCTGTAGGAGGTCACAGAACCAGTCAGTGGCAGGCTGAAATTTGAACCCAGATCTGTTCAAAGCTTGCTTTGGTTCAGATCATTTTTAGAGTGGCCTGGAGCAAAGCCCAGGGCTATGGTGAACCTCCTACACTGTAGATCCCAGCTCTGGGACCAGCCTACACATACCCTAGGCTCAGGAACATACAAAAGTCGATCTTCATGGTTCTCTGGGATTTGGTACAGTGTCTATTACAGAGAAGGTAAATGTTAATGATCTAATCTAAATGCATGACCCAGACCAGAGGCAGATGGGCTCCAGAGGGACTCTGGCTGCAGCCTCAGACCTGGCTGGGACCAGTTGTCTCCAGGAAATGGAAGGAAGCATGGATCAGGAAATAAGAGAAAGGATGACCCTCTCTCCTAACCTGCGAACCTCAGGAGGTAGCTGCTCCAGCATACCCAGGGCTGGGATTCTAATGCTTTAAGACCATAGTGTACTTCCCCTGCCCTGGCCCCCACAGGACTCACCATGGCGGAGAGGCTCTGAAGCAACCTGAGTTCACACCTTCCCACTGAGCTGCCAGAGGACGGACGATCCTATGGGTGCTACCTGGGCCCGAGCACAGTGGAGGCAGCAGCAGCACCTGCAGGACTGGGTAATAATAGGAGCTGCTGAAAGGCACTTGCAGCTGACTGGCACAATCATGCTTCTAGTGCCCTGGTAATAAGGGAGCTGCCCTAGACTTCGATCCAAGTCCAAACTCTAGTTCGTGGGCTGAGGATGGAGAAAAGCATGGGGCTGACAAGGTTCACTCCTGCATTGGGTGCCAGAAGATGGATCGATCCATGTTGCGCACAGGGCTGCCTTTATGCCCAGGAGCAGCGCCCACTTCATTACCAAGGCGCAAAATGACCCAAAGAGTAACCTTCATCTCTTACACAGTCATCACATATGGTGAAAAAGTTGACAAAGATCTTCACCTACTTGCTTTTGTCACCAGGAGGGAGCCAGCTAACCCATTTTAGTTCTGGGAAACAGACTCAGAGAGCTCTAGTGACTTCTACAAGGTCATACTGGTAAGAGCCAGGCCTCAAACCCATGTCTAGTCTTTCTACAAAGGCTGTGTTCTTTCTGCTGATAATTCCATGCCTCCAAACTCAGGCAGAGTCCCTGCTATAGAAAACTCAAAATGTAAGCCACAACATTTTAGCTTCCCTTAGTTCAGCCTGGTTCAGAGGTGTCTTGGGGTCATCCAGGGTCTTGGGCTCACTGTGTGTATGAGCTCTGCATTGATTTCCTGGGAGGATCTTAGGTAAACCAATTCCCTTTGAACCTCAGCTTCCTCATCTGTAAAATGCGGTTGGCTTCTCCTGGGTATTCTGCAAGTGCTCCATGCCACGTTGTTCTCCTCCTGATCCTTGGGGAACCTGTCTGCAATGGGGTGGCCTGGAGGCTGCAGGGCTGACTGCCCTACTAGGTCATTAAGGTTCTCAACAGCGAAATTCTACTTTTGTGTTTGGGTGAGAATCTGTACAGAAATGGGGGCACTGAACGCACAAAGTTAGAAGAATAAAACAGTGTAAAGGGGAGAGGAGAGCATCCTGGTGTCCCATAGGTGAGGCAGGGTGGTCGTTCTAATGTCAGCTGAGGGCACCGGCTGGCTGTGGAAGAACTGGGAGCTGAGGGGAGGAAGGCACGGTTCTAGTCTGGGATGTGCACAAGTCGTTGTCACTTCCCTCTCTAGGCCTGTGTAGCCCTTCCGGGTTCCAAACGCAGGAATAGTCCCGAGGGTTCCTGGAGCAACCGAAGGGGGAGAAGACAGCGTCTGGGGAAGGACAAGTGGGGCGAACTGGGGTTGGGGGTCGGCGGGCGAGTTTCGAGGACGCACCTCCACCTCCCGCTCACGCCCGCCTCTGCCACCTCGGTAACCACCGCCGTTCCACTAAGAGCCCCCCGCGGCGAGCCCTCATCCGGGTACTCCGGGCTCTGGCGGTAAGGGAAGGGGCGGGCCCCCAGTGGGCGGGGCTTCCCTTGGTTGGCTGCCCCGGGCTCGGTGAGTCCTCCAAGAGGCCAGGTGAAGCCGTCCCGTGATGCCCCGCGCCGCGGCCGCTCTGGCCTGCAACGTGTCTCTGGGGCGGAGGCCGCGGCAGTGTAGTTCGCCGCGCGCGGGTGGGGGCCGCCTGTCTTTTCGCTCGTGTCCAGCTCTCTATCGTTGCGCTCGGGTCCCGACGGGCCGCCCCAGGCCTAGACATGTCGTACAACTATGTGGTAACGGCACAGAAGCCCACCGCCGTGAATGGCTGCGTGACCGGTGAGGCTGCCAGGGCCGGAGACCCTGGCGAGGGAGGGAGCTGAGGGGAACCGAGGCCTAGGGAGGCCCGCGGCTCCAGGGGGCGGCCGAGCAGGACCGGGCCCGGGGAATGGAAGGCGCTGGCGGCCAGGGAACCTCCCTCAGCCCCACGACCTCCAAGGAGCTGTCTCAACACGCGCCTTTCGGGGATTAAAAACTGCTCTTGAGGGTCCCCTGTCGTCCTGGGAGGTCACTTGGCCTCGAGGACAAACCTGGCCCAGTGGGACAGAGAGCGAAGTGTGAGTTGATTGTGTGGTAGTGTTTGGACCCCGAGATTGGCCTCATGTGGTCGGGGGAAGGGGCGGTGGTGATGGCGACTTTGGGGTCAGAATTTTTATGTGGGGAAGTCTGAGCGGGCCCGGAAGGTGGAGGGATGTGGAGAATGTTCTCACTCAAAGAGGGAGAGGAGCCCTCCCCAGCCTCACCCCTCTGCCTGGGGCTGTTGTTTACAGGAGGCCACTGCTGGAGAAGAGGGTTTGGTTGGCCCGGGCCAGTGCTGGGTTTGCCTTGT